TCACAGCTCCAGACTTATTTGTTCATTAATGACGTCATCAGCGACTAGTCGACTTCGACTCGACTTTCATCACATAAAAGTCAACTTCAAAAAATCAGAAGTCGTTCAACCCCTAGTTTATAGCTTTTTTATTTATTTTCTATCAGTTTTCTTTATGTATGTATCAACTTATGATCAGTTTCAAATTCTTTTCATATATAATACAGTTCATTCATGATACGTCCCCAAGCTTAAACATTTAAACAAGGTTTAAAACAACACTAAACTGAACTCAAGTCAGTGTCTTTGCAAGCAGTCAGGCAAGTTTGGCCTCATAAATTATTATTATGGCTATAGATTGCATAGCCAACATCCAGTCCCTTTCCCAGATCTCTAGCTCTTGTTTCATGTGAGAGAGTAAATCCTTCCCCTGTAGACGAAGAGAGAGCACTGCGATCATACATACATGACGTTTCGCTCTCACACCCAGTATCTATGACCTTAGAGCAACCTTTCATCTCCCTTATTTATATCATCACGGCTTCTTTCAAGGATATGATCATTTGCTTGCATTCGCCTGTTTCTGTATCCCATAAGCTCGCGCTGTACCCCGAGGCACAGGAGACCTGGGCCACGCTCGTCCCAAAAAGAGCTGAGCGAATCTGCAGAAAAACAGGATTAAATGAATTTATGCTCTCCTTCTCTCCAGGGGAAATAAAGCTAACGTGATTTCAGCCACTCTCACCTCTCTCTGACTCCTGGAGAAGTATTTTGCCCTTGGGCTGACCTCCAGACAGCACTTTTTCCGTAAAGCAGAATCCCCCCCGTTTCGGAACCCCTCCACCACCGCGATGCCTCTGTGATTCACTGTTGAGGAAAACAGTTGAAGGGTTAGGGAAAAGAGAACGTTTAGTGTTTGTGTGTTTGAATGTGCTGTGAATAGGGACTGGGTTTGGAGTCTTTTGGATGAACTGTGCTCGGCACATACGCACTAACCACAGGGGCTTGGATTGTGGTTAATACAGCTCTGGCCACAGTCAGACTGAGTGACTGTTCAACACTAACCACTTCCTGTTTCTCTGAGCTGATCAAATGTCTGATCTGTTAAAGCTTGTTGGAGGAAGCCACAGAGACAAGAAACATGTTACAAAACATCTCATTTTGTCTAGCAACCAAATTGTAAATAAAATCATTAGCAGTAATTGGTGGTAGAAATATACTTTTAGGGATAGTTCACCCAAAAATGAAAATTCTGTCATTAATTACTCACCCTCATGTCATTCCAAACCTGTAAGACCTCCGTTCATCTTCGGAACACAAATTAAGATATTTTTGATGCATTCCGAGAGCTCTCTGACCCTCCCATAGACAGCAAGGATCCTTACACGATCAAGGCTCAGAAATGTAGCAAGGAGATCGTTAAAATAATCTATGTGACATCAGTGGTTCAATCGTAATATTACGAAGCTACGAGAATACTTTTTGTGCACAAAGAAAACAAAAATAACGACTTTATTCAACAATTCGTCTCCTCGGCGTCACCCTATAGCGCCATTTTGGAGAGTATCCGCTGGACGTAAACAACGTATGCAATGTATGTACATGGATACGTTGTTTACGTTCAGATCAAAGCTTAAAAACAACATAAACAGTGTATCCGCGTACAGTGCTGCTGACACGGAACAGCATACGTTGTTTACAGAAGTGATACTCTCCAAAATGGTGCTCTAGGGTGACACAGAGGAGACGAATTGTTGAATAAAGTTATTTTTGTTTTCTTTGCGCACAAAAAGTATTTTCGTAGCTTCGTAATATTACAGTTGAACCACTGATGTCACATAAATTATTTTAACGGTCTCCTTGCTGTCTAGTGAGGGTCAGAGAGCTCTCGCAATGCATCAAAAATATCTTAATTTGTGTTCGAAGATGAACAAAGGTCTTACAGGTTTGGAAACGACATGAGGGTGAGTAATTAATGACAGAATTTTCATTTTTGGGTGAACTATCCCTTTACTACAAGTCAGTATTGTCCCAATAATATTAATAATACAATACTTCAGCAAAGTAATAATATAAGCCAATTGTTTATTTTTCCATAATATCCTGCATTCTCTCATGTAGTTATAAATAGGTTTTTATAATTGAAAATAAATTATATTTGCAAGAGGATAAACATATTTGAGAGTCCATTATTTTTTGGGGTCAATGAGTATAAAAACCTGTGGTTTAATTTGTTGGCATCAGCTTGATATCAGTGTTTATGTGTGTTGACTTCTTGATTGACTAACTGTAGTGACCGTGACTAGTATTATTACATACAGCCGTCCAGGAGGAGCGCCAGCGAGCCAAGGACCGCAGCGAGAACGAGGTGGAGTCGACCAGCAGTACAAACGAAGACATGCCTGTGGAGAAGATCCTGGAGGCGGAGCTTGCTGTGGAGCCCAAGACGGAGACTTACATTGAAACCAATGTACCGATGCCCTCGAATTCAGTAAGTGACATCGCTTCCTCTTTGTGCTCTGAAAAGCCTGGGAAACCAACCTCAGGTTTACTGTAGAAGCCAAAAAAAAAACTGTATACAGACCCTTGAGATACATTGAAGAACTGTTTTGTGTGTTGGAGCTTTGAAGTAGTGGTTGCCTCTTGCTGCTCATGCAAGAAACTCTCTCTGTCCCCAAATAGTTGTCTTTTCTCTTTTGTTCTGTCAATAAAGAGTAGCAAAACATTTAATAATCAAACAATCAAGAAGTGAGGGATACGAAGAACATCGAATGCTGAGGTTCTATGTAAATCTGAAGGGTCAGATTTAGTGTGGGCCTAGTTAGAAAAACAACATTTAAGAACCCCCAGAGCTAAGATGTCTTCAGCCATATGTTGTGGTGCCCTGCTTGACGGCACTTCTCTTTCTCTACTTGTTTTGGTGTAATGCGAGTGATTTAGCTTGTTGATGGCTGTGTTTGGACGTACGTGATGTCATAGTACACGTCTCCCGGGAAAGACTCTGTTTTCTCAGATTACTGCATTGTTTGAAAACAACTCATTCATCTATCAGTTCTGCTCATTCTCTTTGTTCTGATGCTGTTCTTTATCTGTCGGCTCCCTTTTGAATTGCAAAGCAAGTCATTTTGCTTATTAGCTTCGTTTCTGTTTGACTTCTATTAAGACTGATGAATTCTCATATTCCCTCTGTTTCTTATATGTTCTGGCCACTGTATTGAAAGGTATAGGTAGGTCTGGAAAGGATTGGATAGAGTGGAATTGAATTTGCGTTTTCTGCAATTTTGAAGACAGTGCCTGTGTTCCAATTCAGAGGCTGCATTTGAAGACTGAATGCATCATAGCAGCACGACAAAGGCTGTCCAAGTTCCAAGGCTCCTTCAAATGCAGCCTTGAAATGCGTCCTTCATTTCCCAGGCCATGAAGGATACTACAGATGGATCCTTCGCAGCCCCGACTATCCCAAGGTTCATTGCGTGCCAGTAGCTAGTGATTTTTTTTTTTTTGAGAGAGAGAGAATGCTGTTACACTTTTACTGCACACTATTGCACAGTTATTCTTCTAGTTATTTATCTATAGTGACTAATGAATCAGAAGTCTCACACTTTCTCATTCTGCGCTGGAAAATAATGTGGATGTCATTTTTGTCATTAATAATTCTTTTGACCACAATCATGTGTAGTGATAATCTAATATCGTGACAGGCCTATCACCACTAACCATCACCGAGTCCACCTTCTTACAGCTCCGTATATTGGTGCATGTGTGTTTGTCTATCATTCGAACTTTAACTGTTTAAATGTGTGCTAACCGCTAAGCTATAATTCCAACTTTGAGGCTCAGTGTGTCGGAGCACGTATGTTAACCACTCGGCTACGCATCCAACTTCTTAATCTGTTTTAATGGAGTTTTGGTTGGTTATTCCCTGAGAGAAGCAGAGCAAGATAAAGTTGTTGAATTTACCTGTGCGCTGTGAAGTCTCCCTCCCTCGTCTAGTCACCATGACAAATCAGCACCACTAAAGTGATCATTGGCTCCACTTTCCAGCATTGTTTGTATCATGAAATACTCTGACAGTCCCCGGGAGCTTTCAGCCTGCCGTCAGCCTCTGAGGAGAGTTTTCTCATACAGGAAGAGTGGTAGAACAGGAGGAGGATAGAGAAGGAGAGAGAGAGAGTGTTTGGGCGGTTGAGTGCGTCTTTTGGGACTGCTCTGTACCGAAGCGAAAATGTTCTGGAAGCTGTTATGTGAGTAAATGGGGGTTATTTCTGGAAGATGAAGATGTGTGGGAACAGAGGACCGACGTTTGGGGAAAGGTAGCGAGACGAGGGAGAGCATAAGGCCTGTCATGAGGGAGAAGCTGCCAGGCTTTACATTAGAAAGCACTCAGTCTTTGATTCGCTATCTTGGTTGGGTTTGTCACTCTGTATCTCCAGTAGGGGGCTCATTTTTTGTGAGAGTATGGGCGAACCAAGGTTATTAAACATTATTATGTTTAGCTTTGCGATCAAAGTAGTTATTTTTTAAATATTTTCTTTCTTTTTTTTACATTTCATCTTTTAGTTTCAGGAATAGTTTAGTTTTTATTCTATGGACATATTTCTGTTAGTTTTTTTGTATAGTGTATATATAATTGTAATTTTAAGGAATCAGTTGAAAAAAAAAAAACATTGTTAGAGTTTAGATTGACATTTAAAATAACCAAGATCTTTGAGTAAAGAAGTACTGTGGCTTTATATATATGTATGTATATAAATGTATTATTATAGTATGTATGCAATATATATATATATATATATATATATATATATATATATATATATATATATATATATATATATATTGCATACATACTATAATAATACATTTATATACATACATATATATAAAGCCACAGTACTTCTTTACTCAAAGATCTTGGTTATTTTAAATGTCAATCTACTCACATTCAAAAATGTTGAATTATTTATGCATTAAATATGAAATAGTTCAGTTATTCCATTTTATTTAGTTTTCTGTTTTATTTATTTTACTTCAGTTATGAAATCTTTTAAATTGACTTTTTAAATGATTATTTATTTTATTTTTATTTGACACTTATTTTATTATAACCTAGTGAAAATTGAATTGTTGATATCAAGAATTCATATCCTGTGAAGGAATAAAAGTCAAAACGGCTTGCCATAGATTAATCGCATCCAAAATAAAAGTTTATATATATATATACACATTTTAAATGGACTTTTTAAATGATTATTTATTTTATTTTTATTTGACACTTATTTTATTATAACCCTGGGGTGAATTGTTTGTCCCGTGAGTTTTATTTATTATTTTAAATTCCACAAGGAGGAACTAGATTGGCTTAATCTAGTTCCTCCTTGTTGAATTTAAAATGCACAAATTTGAGCCTGTCAAAAGATATCATAAATATCACTTTAAGTATCATTGGTTTTAACCTTCACTGTAGCTCCCAGGCAGAAATGGTGACGTTGTGTCTTAAACACAACTTACACTTAAAAAATGTGTCCGATACTGATAAACAAAAAATCATTTTCATGTTAATAAATATCATAAATATCACCACGTTAAGTGTCATCAGTGTCATTCGCTATAGCTCCCAGGCAAAGTCAGTGACATTGTGTCTTAAACATGCCAAAATTCTCAGCTTGTGCACTGACAGTTATTTTCATAGTTTAAACATTACAGTCTAACTCATCCTGCTGGCTGTAGATGATGGTTTAATACAGGATATTAAAGAAAATGATGCAGTCTAGAGTTGGACAGCAGGGAGACACTTTACTTGAATGTGTTCCCTCTGTAGCGCTTTCTTGGCCGGCAGTCAGAGGTATCGTCTCCCCCACTCACCCGGCTCCCTCCCTCTGTCCCCGGAGCTCCCCTTCTGTCTGTGCTCTTTTGGAAGCCACTGCCCCGTGTGCTAATTAATCAGAGGACCTCGGCCCGAGAGTGCAGCTCATGAATGGGCCGCCACTGCTGCTTAATGGTTGGGGTTTGGCCAAGCTGAATGAAGTGTGTTTATCTCATGGTGACCTAGAACAGGAGTTAAACAGGCATTAGTAACTTGCCTCCAGTTAGGCAGGGAAGGGCCGCCTTTAAAGGAGGAGAATATGGTCCCGTCCGCTCATTTTTCACCTCTCTTTTTTGCTTCATTTTTTCATTTTCACATTTAGTTTACATAACATTGAGTGTGATTACATGCACAGATTCTGCTTAATAACCTGACAACAAGGTCATGAATTTTTTTTTTTTAATAAATATTTATTATTTAATTTGATATTTATATGTATAATACATCTTTCATATTTATTCATATTAATAAATAAAAATAAAAACTGCAATATTGACCAATAACCAGTATTCTATTTCAAATTTCTAAGCTTTTTTTTTCTTGCATTTTTGAAACCTCTAATAGAGTTTTGTTGTACATGTAAACACACTCATTGTAGCCATTTAGGTACTTGGAAACTCTTTGTTTTGTGTTTGTTTTACTGATTCAATACCTCTGACACACAGGAAGTGTTTCTGCGACAGGGATATGTCACATGAGCTTGCAGACGTCTTGCGCAGCTGTAAATCCAGACTGCTTTTTCTCTCTCTGTTGTCACGCAACAATAATATAGTTTAAGCAGACAATGAAAAATTGAAACGTCTCTCATCTCTCCTCCTCAAGTGATAAAAATTTCATAGTGCGATATGCAAGCGTGGCGTTTCTGCAAGAACCCGGGACCAGGATCTGCTGTGAATAATGCAGGCCGTATGCTTTCCGTTCAGCGAGAACAAAAACAGCCGTTGTTTTGTGATGGTCATGAAGAGAATGTTATCAAAGCGTCTCCTCAAATCTGAAAGCGTTGTCGTCACTCGTGCCCCGGGGCTAGCGTTCGCCCCGCTCCGCCGAATCTCACAAGCAAATCATATGGCTGGCTGTATTCACACTAAAGAAATCATTCATGGTGGTTTTTACCTCCTCTATCAACCACTTATTTTCTGCTACTTGGATACATTTTAATCTAGATCAAGGTTCTTCAACTTTGGATATGGATAGGATGGATGTATAACCCCAATTTACATATTAATAAGGCATAAAAAGCCATTAAAATAATCATTATTGATATATTTATGTATTTATAAAACATTTAGCTGGGCTTTAGTTTTAAGTTAATTTAATATTGTATTTTTGTTTAACTAATTGTATCTTTTTTTCACAAAAATTTGTTAAAAATCAAACAATAATTGGCAGACCCCTGTTAAAGACTTCAATTACAGAAATGCTTAAATATATGTTTATTGTGCTAATATTTAGATTTGTGGATCTTTTTGTTTTTTTAATCAAATTTTGGGTCATTTTTGGCTGTTTTGTAGAAGAAACGAGGTCAGTGTAAACAGAGCCAAGATAGCTATTCATCATTCATGAGTATTACGGTGTTTAACGAGAACTCTGGGAGTTGTATTCTTTTGAGGAGCGTCAGAGTCTCTTCACCACTTCGCTTTCCTTTATATTGTTGCTTTGTGAATTAATTATCTGTTTGTTTATGTATTTGTTAAAGAACATGGCAGAAACTGTTGCACCGAGGAGGATCGTCTGCATGTCCCCGATCAGCCACAGAAATATTCATAAGCTGCTTCTGTTTTCTGAGAGATGGCTTTGCGTCTGGCTAACAGTTTGCCATCTCCAGCTTCTGCCTTTGATCTGCTTCTGTTGTCAGTGCGAGTTTTAAACAGCCGCTTAAATACTGTAGAGGGGAAACATTCAACAATTTCACAGGATTCTCCTGGGAGTCCCCGTGTTCTGATGCGAAATCACGGAAGAGCCCACTGTTTATCTGTCGTCAGTCATTTCCCAAAGTACAACTGTGGAGATGTTTCTTGCCTCTAATAATGGTCGCAAAGTGGTCTCACAAAGTATTCAGACACTTAAGTTAAACTTAATGTCTGAATGATACTGCATCACATACACCATCTGAAAAGAGGCATCTGCAAATCTAATGATTTTAGAGCTTTTCTCAGAACTTCACATTTCCAAAGGCGTTTTTGTATTTGCTGTCCAAGGTTAGTTTATTTCATTTTCTTTATTTTATTCAAAAATTGTATCTTTGTGGGTACAGCAGCTTGTCAGTGGGGCAGTACCCTTATAGGGACAAATTTGTACATTATCTACCCCTAAAAAGGTGCATATTAGTACCTTAGAGTAGCAGTATGTTACCTTTTTTTTTTTTGACAATCTAGAACATTTGAAAGTCTTAAATGTTTTTTCTTCATTTTAAACACCATTCCCATCATGTAATTTAATTCTTTTTTCATTTTTTGTGTGTGCGTATACACTACCGGTCAAAAGTTTGGGATCAGAACCATTTTTAATGTTTTTTTAAAAGAGTTTCTTATGCTCATCAAGGCTGCATTTATTTGATCAAAAATACAGGAAAAATGTAATATTGTGAAATATTATTATGATGTAAAATAACGTTTTTCTATTTTAATATACAGTAAAATCTGATTTATTCCTGTGATTCAAAGCTGAATTTTCAGCAGTCATTACTCTAGCCTTCAGTGTCACATGATCCTTCAGAAATCATTCTAATATACTGATTTATTATCAGTGCTGGAAACTGTTGTGCTGCTTAATATTTTTTTGGAACCTGTGATACTTCTTTTCAGGATTCTTTGATGAATACAAAGTTTAAAAGAAGAGCATTTATTTAAAATATATATCTTTTCTAACAATATACACTACTGTTCAAAAGTTTGGGGTCAGTAAATGTTTATTCTTTCTTTTTTTGAAAGAAATTAAAACTTTTATTCAGCAAGAATGTGTTAAATTGTCAAGAAGTGATAGCAAAGATTTATATTGTTAGAAAATATTTATATTTTGAGTAAATGCTGTTCTTTTTAACTTTTTATTCATCAAAGAATCCTGAAAAAAGTATCGCAGTTTGCAAAAAAATATTTGGCATTATAACTGTTGCCAACATTGATAATTCTAATAATAAATCAGCATATTAGAATGCTTTTCATCACAGAAATAAATTATATTTTAAAGGATATTAAAATAGAAACCATTATTTTATATTGTAATAAGATTTTGCAAGATTACTGTTTTTTCTCTGTATTTTTGATCAAATAAATGCAGCATTGTTGAGCAAAAGAATCTTTTTTTAAAAAACATTACAAGATTACTTACTGATCCCAAACTTTTGACTGGTAGCGTGTATGTATGTATGTGTATATATATATATATATATATATATATATATATATATATATATATAAAATGCATGTGTCTTTTTTTTAACTGAGCTATTTTTTTAAGGACTGTTAGATGAGGCTGTTTCAGTGACAGTGGCTGATATATTGACCCTTTCAGAAGCTCTTGACTCTTAATTGTGGTGTCACTGTGTCAAACCTATTAATAAACTTCCTGCGCTGCACTCGAGTGAATCTAGCAGGCTGCCAAAAGTGAGGTCAGGATTTTCCAGGAATGCACACTCCCTCCCACTAATAATTTTGATAAATATGAATATAATTTTTTTTATCCCCCTCTGTTTGTTTTCTGAAAAACTATTTGTCCTTTTGCCCGCTGCAATGTCCTGTTGATGTTTTCTAACGCCTTCCCTTTTGACACTTGAGTTGAAAAACGGCACTCAACGTCTATTTGTTCTCGTCCTTTCAGAAAACCCTCTCCTGCTGCTTTCCTCTCTCCCGCACTCCATTGACTCACTCTTTCATCTTATAAAACAAAGCGGCGTATCTATCCCTCCCTTGGCTTCACGCAGCGTGAATGTGGAATCATCTAGGCCATTTTTCATATCTCTCATTTGTCCTCTCTCTTTGATGGAGCCGGAGCGTTCCGCATCGAGACGTGCTAATAGACTCAAATCTGCAGGAGGCATTAAAGGCAACTTGCCGTACGCAAATTCCCTCATGTGACATCCCCCACAAAGGCATTTTCAAGAACAATGCAAGAATTGAGTTTGACAGTTAATTGCATGTCCTTCTCTGGGTCCTTTAAATGTTTAGTAGCATTCCGTAAATGTTTGGGAATGAGCAAATATGTCAAAGTGAATTTAGTTCCAGGGAGCTTCCTGCAGGAAAGGCCTGCTTAGAAAGGGAGTCATTTTTTAGCACCAGCTCTCGGCAGGTATTTCCTGCGCAGGCCGGGGCAAAAGCACTGTTTGTTTTGCCTTCCTGTTCACTTCTGCTCTGAGAGGATTAGTTCTCATGTGTGGGGCCAAAGAGTCAAGTCAAGTCAAGTCAAGTCTGCTTTATTGTCAATTCTTCCACATGTACAGCACATACACACAGAGAATTGAAATTGCGTTACTCTCAGACCCTTGGTGCATACAGATAACACTAACAGTAGAACATAAATACAGATAGATACAGATTAAATATAAAAATACAACTATACAATATACAAATAAAGTAAAATGTAAAAAATAAAAAAATATATATATAAATCCTTGGGGGGCCCCAGTGTTCAGTGTGATGGTGCTGGATGTGTTGCTGCCGACCCGTACTGCCTGAGGTCTTCCAGTCAGGAAGTCCAACAGCCAGTTGCACAGCGAAGTGTTGAGCCCCAGCTGGACCAGTTTGTGAAAAAGAGAGCTGTAGCAATCTTCAGTAATAGTTCCCCTTAAACGGATGGGTTATTATTTAGATAGATAGCTATAAACATGTCAACAGTTTGAGTAACTTCAACTAACCTTGCCTCACTGTGAAAGCAGTTGAACTGAAAGAGAAAATTAACTGAACTATGCTAATGCTAGCTATAGCACCCCTTGTGTCAACAGTGTTTACTCGGATTGCGTTTTAACATATTTCAAAACAAGACAGCGTGTGAAACCAGAAGTGTTTGCATTGAATTTGTTTTTCTGACATTTGGACAGACCAGTGTTTGACACCTGTGTTCTTGTTTCTTCCACCAGCCCAATGATCCAGTCACAAACATCTGTCAGGCCGCAGACAAGCAGCTCTTCACTCTAGTGGAATGGGCCAAGAGGATCCCGCATTTTTCCGAGCTCCCGCTGGACGACCAGGTCATTCTTCTACGAGCAGGTGAGTTTAAGAGTACAAACAGATGCACACTTAAAAGAGAGAAACAGGATGAGTTCATTATAAAGTCAAATATTTAATTAGAAGTGTGTTGAAGTTAAGCTGCCTCTATGGCTGTGTTTCAAAACCTAGTTTGGTGCCTTTCTAGACTGCATTGTAGCATTCTGCTTGCTTAGAGGACATGTTAGGTAGAGGTCGACCGACATGGGTTTTTCACTGGCCGATGCCGATATTTAGAAATCAGGGCAGCTGATATATGATGCCGATTTTTTTGGCCGATATATTTGGCTCATTTTTTTTTCTTTTTTTTCCCCTTCATCTCATAAAAGTGAGTTTGAGTAAATGATTATTGCAGGGTACAAGATAGTAGTAGTAGCCTAATTCAGAGTAATAATACATGGCTCAAAACTTAAGCACCTTTTCAAAACAGTTCTGAAGCTTGCTTTTTGTTTATGTTTGCTGTCAGACACCAGTGTTCCCCACAGACTTGCAAATGCAAATTAATTCTCTGCCAGCAGGAGGCGCTGTTGGAGCGGGAGATATAGCGGTTTCCCCGGTAACGGCTGTAATCTAATAAGCACTGTGACTGCGCTCACAAATGTTACTTTATCAGGCATTACAGGAAAGACGAAATGAAAATGAGACCGAAGCTTTTCTGAAGATACATTCATATAAAAACACCCGCGCTGCATTTTAATTTTGAAACGTGCAGTGATCAGTTTATTCAACGAAGTAATAACTCAGGGAAACACTGGACACTGCTATAAGTCAAATGGCCAAGTGATAACAAAAATAAAAGAATTCACACATATTACACAGCCTGCTGCTCATAACTGCTTAAGAGTGCACAGGCCACGAGCGATGACATCGTGGATGCTATTGTCGGACCTACACACACATTTCAATTTAACGTGCACGCTATAATCAGCCCAGACGTTTCGTCTGAACTGCATGCATTTCTGCTTTCACATGCAAATGACTTGTTGCACTTATGAATATGCTAACTTTCCAGCATCAATTCTAGTAGGGTAAAACATAATTACGCTTTCGAAACGGTCTGTTTTGCCCTGCCATCATTAGCTGAAACTGTGTGTGAACAAGAAGCGGCTGCAGAATGTGAGTTGCTTCGTCTCTCATGCAGCCAGAGAGAGATTCTCCGGCGTTCCGCAACAACGCTTAGCTGCCTTCAGATGTGCCTGCCTATAAATCAGCCTAATTTGCAGCACAATCGGCCGATGCCGATTAATTAAAAAATGGCAAAAATCGGCTGTGTTAGGTTTCAGAGGTGAACTAGAAAGTCTGTCTTAATTTTGAACAACTTATCCATGATTTTGTTTTGAAAAATGATTTTTGCAAGATGCTTATATTTGGAAAATGTATAGACATTAGGAAATTTATTTGTTAATACTGTTTCTACTATTGTATCTTAAAGCTAAACTCTAGGTACTAAATATACCTTTGATACAAAAAACTGCTGTCTGGGTTGGAAGTTAATATGGTTTTGAAAGGGAAACGCAACAAAGTTTCATTTCATTTACATTTAGTCATTTAGCAGATGCTTTTATCCAAAGCGACTTACAAAGTAGAAGCAATCAGACCAACGAGAGAGCAACAATATACAAGTGCTGTGACAAGTCTCCGTTAGTCTAGCACAGTGCACATAGGAAGGTGTTTTCAGAAAGTTTCAGAAAAGTGCTTTTATATAAAAATGAATGTCAAATATTAAAAAGAGGTAAATGAAGTCTCCATGACTAATATAGTGGTAACTAAAAGGGGCAGGTGTCCTCACTTAGTTAAAGGACAGCATTGATGTGTGAAAAGTCAGTTGTTCTGTCGCAACAGTTTGTGTACAGCGTCAGATTTATGAGTGAGTTTCTAAGAAGTTGACAAAGTATGACAACTAGGTGCTCTGTAAACCACCATTCTACAAATAAACTGCTTCGCTTTTAATTTCCTTTATGGCCCATTGTATTAGCGAGTCATGCTTATCTTCCCATAACAAGCTAAAGAGCATGTTGAGAGGGTCTTCTCTCGTTCTCTCTCTGAGCTCTCAGGTTTTCTATAAATAACCCCTTTAGTTCTGCTGTCTCACAGATGAAAGCATCTCAGCTTTTCCCAAGCTCAACTCTGGGGAAATGAGGGAGTGGGGTAGTTGCTAGGTAGACTAGTTAAAGGAGCCCTGTCACTCAGATGCTTGCTTAATTCCCTCTTACTGTGCGGAATGTTTTATCATGATTTTGTCTGTCTCTCAGGATGGAATGAGCTCCTCATTGCATCATTTTCACACCGTTCAATAGCAGTGAAAGATGGGATACTGTTGGCCACAGGATTGCACGTGCACCGGAACAGCGCCCACAGTGCCGGAGTAGGAGCCATATTTGACAGGTTAGAATGATACTTACAGTGTTGGTCCGCTGAAAGTTTGTGGGGAAAAAGTGTTAAGAATAAAAACAAATTTTTTAAATGTGTAAACCATATTGAATGAATTTTATTTATTTGTATTTTTTGTTTGTAATATATGAGGCTTTGGCTATATGGAATATATTCAAACGTGATGACACAAAGAGATGATCACACTAGAAATTTTCATGACAAGGGCAGAAGAGGAACCTTGACATTTCTGCCAGCGGAACTCTGAGACAGAAGGGCAGGGAGGAGCGAGCTTTCTATCGATTTACATCGATATTCATTAAATATGCAGCCGCGCTGGCAACAGAGGTCATGCAGAAATGGTTGAGTGCTCAGACAGAAAATGTTAAAGGAAATCCATTTGTGTGTCATTTATGATGAAATCAAAAAATATGGAGGGATACACACCCAGTGTTGCCAAGGGCTTTGCTCTGTATCTGTGCCCACAAAAACCTGAACAATGCTTTGCAATAAAGCTACCAGTTAATTTTTTTTTTTGTCCAGATCTCAAACTAAATATGGTTTGAAGAGGGCTGTAGTGGTTACAGAGTTCAAAGTTTAGTTATGAAATGCACACCAACACAGCAGCAGCACCACTTGTTGACTGTGAAATGCATTGTTCAGCATCCCCATTAATGAAGAAAGTTAGAAAAATAGAAATAAATTACATAAGAATAGCAATGATAAAAAGTAAACCTTAAGGCAAATGTATATTTTGTGCAATTTTTTATTTAAATATATGTATATTTTGTGCATACACTGTATGTATGTATGTATGTATATATATATATATATATATATATATATAAACCAATAAAGATTGTTTACATTTGTATAATACAATTTTAATCTAAAAACGTTTTTTCTATTTAGTACAAGATAAATCTGTTTGTTAATGAGAGTATTTGTGACCCTGGACCACAAAACCAGTCTTAAGTCGCTGGGGTATATTTGTAGTAATAGCCAAAAATACATTATATGGGTCAAAATTATTGATTTTTCTTTTATGCCAAAAATCATTAGGATATTAAGTAAAGATCATGTTCCATGAAGATATTTTGTAAATTTCCTACTGTAAATATATTAAAACTTAATTTGTGATTAGTAATATGCATTGCTAAGAACTTCATTTGGACAACTTTAAAGGCGATTTTCTCAATATTTTGATTTTTTTTGCTCCCTCAGATTCCAGATTTTCAAATAGTTGTATCTCAGCCAAATATTGTCCTATCTTAACAAACCATACATCAATGGAAAGCTTATTTATTCAGCTTATTTATCAAGCTTATTTATATATGATGATGTATAAATCTCAATTTCGAAAAATTGACCCTTATGACTGGTTTTGTGGTCCAGGGTCACATTTGTAAAACCATAAACCTAGCATATTTATGCTTAAAATGTTATGCTCAACGTATTTACTGAAAACATGCCTTATACACACTTTATTTGGAGGATATTGTTACTGAGAAACAAAACAGAAATACTGATTACGAAAGTCATGACTGTAAACAAAAAAGCTGTATTAACAGTAATTGGACATCTCCTGCAGCCGTGTCACCTGACTCAGTTCAAGACTCTGCTCTCAGCGTCCAGATGCTGCTTTAGCGATTAGAATACACCCGACTCCTCTGGAAGAATGGATCTCAGTGTTAATGCTGCTCGCATTAAGATGCGCAGCCCTGATAATGTTTCTTTATCAGGTCCCCTGCAAGTGACAGCCGTGGCACAAATGAAGTGGATGGTCAACTTAAACACTGGGCTGAAGTTCCCCACCCCTCCACTTATTGTTCCAGGAGGCCAATTCAATTAGAGTGTGTTAAGAGTGGGAACAAGGATGCCTCGCACCAGTGTGTGTGCCGTCACCTGGTCACACAAAGGCCAAGACTGTCAGAGGAGACATCACCCTCTGAATCAGAGGATGTGATACCAATCTTGACATTTTATTGAGGCGGCATTGTTATTTGACAGTCACTGCCCGTCAAAGCAGTAATGTAGTAATATCTGCCCACATGTCTCATTTCCCGACAACTGATCGTGTTGCAGTGTCCTTCATTAATAAAAATCTATCGGGGCAGTTTTAAGCAGTGTAGCCTTTTTTTTATTTTGCTTTTAATTTGAACACCATAAAGTTTTTACAATGACATGTTTGATAAGGGGTAAAAATAAATAAATAAAAGTAATAAAAACAATTGTACATTGTAAAAAGAAGGAAAAACAACATAGATGATATATATATATATATATATATATATATATATACAGTAAATACATATATAATACATTTTTTAGACCTTATAGAACTTACAGAGTTGACAGAGTATATTGTTTTATGATGCATTCTCATTTAGGACAAGAAAAGGGACCCCATGTTCTCTATACTGACCATGACTTCCTGAAACTCTAATTATAGCAGGTTCATACTTGGCATTATTCAACCTGTTTTCAGTCTTAACCTGTGTGATTTCTCCTATATTTAGGGTGCTGACGGAGTTGGTGTCAAAGATGAGAGACATGGAGATGGATAAAACAGAGCTAGGGTGCCTTCGAGCCATTGTCCTCTTCAATCCAGGTACTACTCTATGGGCCCTATTTTAATGATCTAAGCGCATGGTCTAAAGCGCACAGCGCAATTGCGCTTAGGGTGTGTCTGAATTCACTTTTGCTAGTTTAAGGACGGGAAAAATGGTCGCCGCACCCGGCGCATGGTCTAAAAGGGTTGTACCTATTCTCTTAATGAGACATGGGTGTGTTTTGGGCATAACGTGCCATAAACCAATCAGAATGTCATCTCCCATTCCCTTTAAAAGCCAGTTGCGCTCGCGCCATGGCGGATTCGCTATTTACATGGCGGAATTTAATTTTTCATTTTTAAAAATGTTGTGTGTGCTGCGGCGCATCCCTGTGTGTGTAATAAGCAAAGTGTACGCGCGTTGTGCACCCGCCTATAGGTGCATGTTACTAACGCACTCTTAAAATAACAAAGAAAAAATATTGCGCCAGACTTTAGACCAGGTTTTTGTTGGTCAGTGGTGCAGTCTATTTCAGCTGCCTCAAAATAGCAACGTGCCAGCAATGCGCTTGAACACACCTCGTTTTCAGACCAGCACGCCCATGGGGGCGCAAATGCATTTGCTATTTAAACAACGTGGCGCAGGACATGAAAATGACAACTGCGTCGGGCTGAAACTAGCAAAAAACACTTCGCCAGGTGTATGATAGGGCCCTATATGTGATGCTACCTGTCAAAAATGTGTTTCTAATGATAAAAATCTAAAGACGTATAGTTTTAGTTCTTGAAATCAATATTGTAAACAAATTCAAATGGCCTGTGATGTTTTCCTGATCCCATGTCCAATAATTTCCTGTCAGTCACTCTTGATTGTCTTAACACTGACCTTTGTACCCCAGAGTAAACATACAGTCACTGGTATGAAAGTGTCTCCCATTCATTAATGAGGAAGAGTCCAGCGCATTGCTCATTCTCCGAGGACAGACCTCTCTTCTGTTCCCTTCACTTTATATAGTGGGGGGAAAAGACAGCTCTCATTTTCCCTCTCAGCTGCCTCTTCCAGAGTACCAGATTGAGTTGAGAGAAAAAAATAGTGTTAGGAATCGAGAAACGTTTTTTAGAACAATTCTGCATTTTGAAGATATTGGTTGGGTTCCATTAGTGGTGTTTTAGCAGCTGCATTGTTCTTCTGGGAGGATGTGCTGGAGCACTACTCCAAAACTTAACTTTGTTATGCATCTTCTATTTCAGACTCCAAAGGCCTGTCAAACCCAGGTGAGGTGGAGGCGCTGAGAGAGAAGGTCTATGCCTCTCTGGAAGCCTACTGCAAACAGAAGTACCCTGAACAACCTGGAAGGTACAAGAACCACTTACCTGCAGGACCTGGATGATATATATTGAGATATGATCAAAAATATATTTTTTGAAGAACAGCTTCATACTTCTCAGCTCTTGTCTGACTTCAAAGGTTGTCGGATTGTCAGAGTTGTATCAAGTACAGATGAAAGAGCTATCAGTTTAATTGGACATCCGTCTTGTTTTTTCGGCGTTTGATTATGTGTGTTTTTGTGTGCAGGTTTGCTAAGCTGTTGCTGCGGCTCCCTGCCCTGCGTTCCATTGGACTGAAGTGTTTGGAGCATCTGTTCTTCTTCAAGCTCATAGGGGACACGCCCATCGATACCTTCCTCATGGAGATGTTAGAGGCGCCCCACCAAATGACATAATGCCCTCCTGTCGCCAGGGGGACACAAGGGTCTGCCACCCCAAAGGCCCCTTAGAAACTGAACATGTGACACCATTTCCCAGAGCAAAGGAACTTTCAGAACCAATACACAGTCATGGCGTCCATGGGTCTGTTTTATACTTTGTATAAAGATATAAATATATATACAACACATAAGAAAAAAGATGACAATGGGCTTCAAGCCCACAGACAACAGTGGACACGGGCTGTAATCAGCCTCATTCAGGATTGGATAGGGCCATCCTGGGCTGGCGTGTCTGGGCACATGAAGACTTATGGGAGATGATGGTAATGCGGGTAATAATCGGGGTTTCTAACACAAACATAGTGTTTTCAGCCCCTGGTGGGAGTTTTTGCGATTACAATCCTGCTCAAATTGCTGTTTTTCCCTCAAGCGGGCAGTTCCTGATAGAATGTTCTTGTAATTACCGTCATTTAAGAAGTGAGTTTGCTCTGAACCAAGTGAGGAATCACAGTTCACCCCGAGCATCATCAGTGGTGTGTGGGAGACGCAATAATGACGTAACTTCAGGATCAGACAGGAAGGGACTCCTGAGGTCGCTGGGAGCAGATCCCAGCATCTAATGAGCCACCCTGAGTTTTGGATTATGATCATTCACACTTGCTCATTATGCACTCGAAACATGAGCTTTTAAAAATCCAATCTGCCTGTTGTCACAGAGCCCATGATGCTGAACGATGTAAACCAAGGATGCTTATAGTGGACATCCTGCCACCTGTAAGCCGCCCACATGTCCCACTGTGTCTCGTCTGTATACCAATTCACCTCAACACTTGTACAGTTTATTACAGCCAATTCAGTATTGGTATCCTGTATTTTTTTTGGATGCTTTTTCAAAATGTGTGCCGTTACCTCTCTTTCAGTCACTTTTACTATGGTATATTGAGTCTTTTGTGTCCCCCGTCCACTCCTGCGTCAGCCGTTCGCACGAGCTGCCTCATGCATTCAGGTCTTGCAAATGTGTGTTATCATTAGGATGTTTCTAAGCACTTAACCTCATGTTTCATGTCCCATTGTTGTGTTTTTGGAGCTGCCTTTTTTTATGGGGTATCATCTGTTTCCTGGGTCTGTAATTTGCCATCTTCAGCATTTTCTTTATTTCTGTATGCTGCTGCTGCTAAACTATGCATTTAGCATTTTTTGTTTTTTCTCCCCAAAGACTGGCCATACTGAGGTTGATTTTCAAACTCTGGCAACGAAAGACCACATGTGAACAAGGTTACACCGCCAGGACCAAGATCCGGGTCTCCAGCAGTTTATAGAGAGCCATTAGGAGTGGAGCAGTACTGGTAGGGAATAATACTGAGGCAATGGGAGAGCTGAGACTTCCACCTAGTGGTGGAGATGCAGCACTGCAACATTACTTGAATTTTGTACAAGTATTTAATTGGATAAAAAATGGCACTTTTACGTGATATTATCAGTGTTTGTTTTTGTTTGAGTGCAGTCTCACAGGGGTCTTCAGCAATAGCTTGATTTCGATCACTCGAGATGGTTTATCCAGAGTGAAGCCCAACCAACTTCAGTCGATGCTGTTTATTGGGATTCGTCTCTATGATTACATTTCTAAAAAATCAGCTTTTTGTCCTCTTACCCTCATTTCCTTAGCGTGGCAAATGAATTTCAATGGCTTCACTAGACTTTTTAATGAATTAATATTTTGGATCACCGGTATCTTGAAGCCATATTCAGGTTTGAGATCAAAAACGTTCTCCTGTTGGAAATGGAGTAATTCAGAAATTATAACCTAGATAGAATTAATGCATACGCAAATGCTTTATAACATAAAGCTATATTTTGTCTATATGTAAATGTGTGTACATTTCTAAATATGAAAGTATATAAATCCAGTCTTTAAAATGTTTCCGAACAATTATTAAGGGAGCCAAGCATTTTTCTTAAATTGACTAAAACCAGGCCTAATTGCACTGTTGTATTCTCAGATACTAGAAATGTTTTTAATTGCTGAAGCTTTTGTGTTCAGCCTTGAATTACACACACAAAAAAGTCAAATTTTAGACTAATACCAGCAGTTCAGAGCCCTAAGAAAAGATCGTACACCAGCTCCTTGACTTATGAATCATTTTATGTTCACAAAACCTCAAACAAATGTCTTGTTAGTGAAAAAATCTAAAGGAACCTGTTGCTTAGCCACTTTTTCGCCATTTAAACTAGTGAGGATAAACTTTGACCCTGACACAGTCGTCACAGAGACAGGACCTTTTAAAAAAACGTTGAGAAAACTAGAAAAAAATCTATTTTTGTACAAATGTAATTTTATCCCTTGCTTATATATCCTCCCTTCCTTCCTCTTTCTGTGGGCTGTTGTATACATTGTGTAAATGTTGATTTGAAGTGGGAAAATTCAAATCAGAGCGTTTGAAAGTGGATTGTGTGAGGGATGATTCCGACACCTTCACCCTTTTCACCTCCACTTTGCCTTTTGGTTTCCTTCTTTCGCTATCTCAGAGAGAAGGACTGTCCTCATCATATTTTGTCTTATTTTTAAGGAAATGAAAAAGGCATCTGTTCTACTTTGTGGGTTGTTCTTTGATGTTTTGTCTTTCAATCAAATTAAACGTCTAATTAAAAATATGATGTGTTATGTCTTCACTAACTTGTTGGACCTGCACATTTTCTATTAATTCCAATATAGTAAGGAGATTCTTGCCTCATGGGATAAAAAATAATGCATGTATGTGGTTTATCACAGGTTTATCAGAATTTTCCTACTCTGAAGTTAATCCAAACATATTTGTAACTACACTGGGGTAGGTTTTTTTTTTTTTTCCTAGTACAAATGTTACCAACATACACAACACTGAAACAATACTACTCAGCAAACTATACATGAAATATAAAAATGGATACTGCATTTTTATACTGCGTTAAAAACATCTTGCAATATGTGAATGAAAACACTTTATTAAAAGAATAATTAGGCTACTCTACTTCAGGTCACGAGACGTGGCTGTGTGACATCCATTGTTGTTCACACTGAATTTGGTAGAATTATTGCTATTATTCAAATATCTCTTTCTTGCTTACAGGCAGCACAACTACTAGTTCTGTGCGAGAAAGCTTGCCTGTATGTGGCTGTGCGATTATTGCAATAAGGGTAAAATCTTTGCGTGGCAGATGCAGCTGCCACTCGACCTGCCACCAAAGATTTTACTTCCTCTCAATTATTGTATTGTTTTGGGTTCTGGGAAGATTTTCAGTGTGAACATGTTATTTAATCTACTAAATGGCATAGTGGTGTAAGTACACAACAGAGCATTTTCAAAAACTAATTTTAAAAATATTCCAGAGCAGTTTTTCGAATTGTTAGAGCTAATAGGCCTATATACACCCCAATAAACATCTTTAACGTTAGTAAAATATTTAAATGTTACATATGTTGAGTATTTCCGTTTATTTTATCCAGTTTGTTTCAGTTTACCTTCTGTATGTTGTTGTTTTGTTGTTCCTCACCCACTGTTCTGTTCCCCATCCTGACCTCTGCTGGTCACAGAGAAAGTGCTCACGGTTTTCTCAGTTTTAGACTGGTGCTGCTGGATCCAACATGATTCCTCTCACTCTCAGACTTGCTTTCTGTTTAGAATCCTCTGGGTTTATCATTTTCTTTTTTTGTAAGAAAGCGTGTAATTAATTTGTCCATGTTCTTACAGTAGGGAATAAAATATCAGCTTGCAGAATGATCGAACAGAATGAAAATATCCTGTTTCTAAGCATTTCAGCAACATATTTTGTGTGTTTTGCATATTTAAAATTATGTGAAACAATATGCAATACTGAACATTTCAAACAGCAGTATGCTATTGTAGTCAGTTTTTCTAGATTCCCTGTTTAAAGAAATATGATTATAAAGAACTTGATTGATTATCTTGCCATTTTCTGTTACATATACGTTACATAATGGTATGTGTTTCTTCTGTCTGCCAATTCACACCCACTACTTGTATTGCCAGAAGGTACTCTTGCTATATAATCCATACATAATGTATAGACCAGTGCTTTATTTAACGCGTTTAAAATTATTGAAATTGAAAAAAAAAAGTGTCAATAAGAATATTAATTCTTTAATATTTAATAATTAATATGATTCATTTGCCCATGCTTTTTAACATCTCTTTATTTTATTTTATTCATTTTGCAGGTTGCCATCAAATTTATCCTGAAGAGGTCAGTGGACTTCCTTTTTGAAACTGTAAGTTGGCAAAACTTTATGAATATATCTAAATTAATCAAATTTATCCAAGTACAAGTTTGTGAGAAAAATCAAACATGCATATAATTAACCTTTTATTGAATTTTATTCTAGCCTGGATGTTTATATTCTGAAGTGGCTATAAATCTGGTGATGAAAGTCCCTAGTGTATATGCTGGAATGGTTTGAAGAGGAAGATGATTACATCCTCATCCTGGAGTATCCATGTCCCTGCAAGAGTTTGCGCAGATTCCTCAATGACAACAGGCCACGACTAAATGAATCACTGGCACGTGGCCTGATGATCCAAGCGGTCCTCGGAGCAAAGCACTGTCTTGACCGGGAGGTCTTCCATTGCAGCATCAAAAAAGACAACATGCTGGTCAATACATCGACAATGGAACTCAAATTAATAGACTTCAGTAGCAGTTGCCTTGTCAAATGTTCTGACTTTAAACATAACCTTTTAGGTGAGTTTACTTTTTGTCTTAATGCTTACAATAAGCTCTAATAAGATGTCAGTCTTGTGTGTAGTGATTTAATGATAATATGCTGCATTTACAAGCACAGATATGTGAAAACAGACAAATGAAATGCTTGTTCAGTGTAAGAATCTTTCTTTAATGAACAGGAGGTCACTACACACATTCGTGCCCCATGAAATATCATGCAGGCCCAACAACAGTCTGGAGTTTGGGTGCCGTGCTACACTCGGTGGTGACCGGAAATCAGACTGGATTTGACAGAATGATAGCCAATGTGACGATTGACCACACATTATCCAGAGGTAAGGGAACTGTTAACTACCAATAACACAAAGACGGTAGCATTTTCGTTACATGAATTTTCATACATGACAATGTTTGCATGTCACATGGACATACGTAACTAACCAGCTCTCTTGTGAAAACTTGCACAGAATGCCAGGATTTGATAAACCGGTGCCTGACTCGTGATCCTGCAGAGAGAGCAACTTTAGAGGAGATCTTACAGCATGAATGGTTTCAACAGGGACAAATGTCAGGAGCAGCTCAGGAGTCAGGTAGTGTAACATAGGGAAGGAAGAAGAGAAATCCAAAAGAATTTTTGTGAAAAAGCAAGCAGTGCTTCAATTTTTCTTTACATTTATTCATTCAGCAGATGGTCCAAATCAGCCCCAGTGAGGAAAAACAGCACAAACCATTCAGCATAGAGTCTTCAGAGGTTCATGATTAGTTAAACAATACGCAGCAAACTTGGTGCACAAAAAGAAGAAAATTACTATAGTAATAGTAGTGCACAAATAAAGAAGCAGTAAATAGAAAAAAAACTTGGAAGAACTAATCTAGTGCACAAAAAAGGAAAAAAATGTCTTTGAAGAAGTATGAAGCATACAGTGTAATGTAAAAAAAAACACTTGTACACAAAGTAGAGAAAACTAGTGCAAAAATGAGTCGTAACAGTGCAAATGATGGGAGGAAATATAGGAGCAAATTTATAAACCTCATAAATCTAGTTAATTTATTGGGTGGGTGGGAGGGATTGGCTTAATAAATAATTAAAAATTTTACATATGGAGTTTTTTTTTTTTTTTTTTATAGA